CTCACGTAGGCTAAAACAAGACTATTGTACATGTACTATTATATTGTAAACTGATTTTTTTTAAAAAGAGCAACTGTTGAGTTTCTTGCCGGTTTCTTCTCAACAGAAACTGCTTTCCGAACCGGTGGTAACTTACGAACGTGTTAATTTCTTTTAAAATTTTGACGCTTCATAAGAACGCGCAAGCGTCTATGTGAATAAAGATATTTTATTATTATTATGGGGGATATTCATTTGTTTTCTCGTCTGGTTGGGTTTATAAATAAAAATAAAAATAAAAATAAAGATATAGATATATATTGCATATATGAAATAAATGTTATGGATAAAAATAAACATATATATATATATATATATATATATATATAAAAAGCCCTCGGCAGGGGAGACCAAACGGCCGAGGGTTAGGGCGAAAGGGAGAGAAACCGGCGGACGATGCGGGCGGTATCGAGGAGCACCGCCTTCTGCATTTGAGCCTGGAGCGATCCGTCCCGGAGTCCCAGTCGCCTCAGATGTTTAGAGAGGCTGACTGGGATCAACCCATTCGCAGACACGACTATAGGGATAATTTCGGTCGGCACACCACCCCACATGTCGGTCACCTCGTGAGCCAGGTCCAGATACTTCGTCTTCTTATCTGTTTCGGCTTTCACGAGGTTCTCGTCATATGGAATGGTAATGTCGACCAAAAATACCCGCGACTGTGCCCGGTCCATCAACACGATATCAGGTTTGTTCGCGACAATCTTATTATCTTATTATTATTATTATTATTTGGTTCGAGGTGTGTGTACCGTGATAATAATATGTTTGTAAAACGTAAAAAAATTATTTCATCTAATAGTAAAGGCAATTTTTTTACTAAAATTAATTTAAAACTTCTTTGAAAAATATACGGTGGTTGAAAGAATCGTTTGATATAAAACAAATAAACATATAAAAGTGACACATTTTATTTACATTAAATAATTATGGTTTTGACATGACGCCAAAAATTGGGCCCGTCGCTGTGCAATCTCCTTTGAGGCAGAAAATGTACGAAATATAATATTTGAAGTCCTATGTGCTATTATTTAATTTGATAAAGAAATGTGTTTTAGAAAGAAGTATTTCGAAATGTCAGCTTTAAGAATACTCATTGGGTGTGGCATATGTCGAAATGATTGTTAGGTTTGGCCGTCTCTCACCATAAATACGGTATGGTTAAACAATCACGATCTTCCATTGATTTTAACGCATTTAACAATGCATTAGTGAAGATCCATTAAGTTCTTAAGTGGTTGCGTAATTTTTAATGGCGCAGTTAAATAAGACCTGTTGAAAATTTCCGAATGCGGCAAAGCGTATGGACTTAAGTGCTTAACTCCCCACCTAATGAAACATAATTAATAGAAAAATTAAAGAAAAGTTTTCCATTGCTCCGGGAATCGAACCCACCACGTCCAGATTCTCGTCCAGACGCTTTAACCACTAAGCTAAACGAAAATTTCAACTTATTTTATCTACATTGTTTTTTCGTATTTAAAGAAATGCTATTTTTCAGTAAAGTTTTCAGTAAAATTTCGTAATGAAAGAAATTGACACACCAATTGTTAACAGCAGACAAACAATTTCAAACGTTTTTTCAACGATAATTTGAACAAGAAGTATCGCCATTGCTATTTAATTCAAATTGTATGGTGATAATCTTAGATTCCTGCGAAATAACTTTTCTTTCTGTTTTTCTACAAATTTTAAAGCATGGTCTTAAGTTGAATCCGCTAAGGGCACGACTTGCACAGGCAGTTACAGTGTTACAACTTCTGCGTTTCATCTGGTGAGTGAGGTAGCCGGGGCGCACTTAATTTAAAGGTGCGCATCTGCAACCCTATGGGTGTGGCAAATTGTCAGTGGCTGGCGGTTATCACTTAACGTTAGGTAAAGCGCAAGCTCTTTTGCCCCCTTCTGACATAAAAAAAAGAAACTTAGGTTCTACGGTTCGTCCAGACCATCGAATTTGCAACTGATTCCCAAAGTTAACTATGATGGAAATTTATTTTCTATTAGTCCATATTTGCATGTTTTGTCTTGTCGGTAGCCGGCGCCCATTTTTTAAAAGTTGTCAACGCATCTGTAAGCCCTTAGGTATTATAGATGTCTTCACTTAGCATCAGGTGAACCGTCTGCTCGTTTGACAATTTTTCATGTAAACAAATTAAATTATAAACATAGATATAATATACAGCTGTATCAGTCTTTAGCAAACTTATCGCCCGGTTTCTGAAACACCAGAATGATCTTTATGATCCTTCTGGTGCCTATGATCCTTCTGGGTCCTATTCCTTTATGATCAAAATGATCAATTCAAAGAGTTTAACCATCCTTTTGACAACTAAAATGACATTTTAAAAGCCATTTGACAGCTGATTAGTTGACATCCACGATGATCGGTGTTTCAGAAACAAGGCGTTTGTGTGTTACATAATTCCAACGGCCTTGTGACTGTCACGTTTATGGGCCTAACATAACTTAAGCATTTTTAACTTAACCTAAACATAAACAGAATACAGCCAGTTATCTGCCTAACCTGTCAGAATATATACCATGGTAGTACATATGCGTAAGCATTTGAACACTATTGTTATAGCGTATTGTTCGACGTCGGACAATTCGTGCTCTGTGTTCGAGAACTAATTAAACAGTACCTAATAATAGAACTAATTAACAAGCGATTGATTTACATTGAAATTACATTGCGTACAAGTTGTCACATCGTGTTCTGTAGCTTTGCTATAACTATGGTATTGTATAGACAATTGATACACATGCTTGCTAATAACGATTGCGTAATTTTGTTATTTTTAGGGTTCCGTACCCAAAGGGTAAGATGGGACCCTATTACTAAGACTCCGCTGTCTGTCTGTTTGTCCTTCTATCGCCAGGCTGTATATCTCATGAACCGTTATAATTAGACAGTTGATATTTTCACTGATGATGCATTTTCGCTCTCGCTATAACAACAAATACTAAGAAACAGAATAAAAATATATTTAAGTGGGACTCCCATACAACAGACGTGATGTTTTACCGTTTTTATATATAATGGTACGGAACACTTCGTGCGCGAGTCCGAATCGCACTTGGCCGGTTTTCTTTATTTATTCACATAAAATATTCCTGAAACATTTTCGCCACCGAAACAACTACGCGGTCGTAATTCTATCACGGCCGAATACGCGTCGAAAACGAAGCACTTAGAAAAAACAAAGCCTCTCGGCCGAACCAATCAATACGTTTCCCTTTCGGGAAATAATTGACAGTCTCGCCTTGCGATCTCTCTATAAATCAGTTGCCGAAAGAGAAAGGAGACGTCAATTTCTCGGTGAAAATGTGGAGTATCGTTCGGTGGACGGATGCGGGCGGAATTTATTGTTGCGATAGCGCGAAGGTCTTTTTTTAACGATTGCCCGTGACTAGTGAAAGCGAGTGTCAGCGGATAGTTCTCGTAGTGTTGTTCGATTTTATTTTTGCTCCTGGCTCGGGTTTGACTACGGAAAATTTTAGCTGTATATTATTCAATTTCAGGAAATATGGGACTGCCTTTTTTAACGTGGGTAAAATCCTTTACGGATCACGTGCCACCGGATCAGGGGATTGTGGGAGTCCCGGTCAGAAACGGGTACCCACTAAAAAACCCACGTTGCACCTGTCTCTGTCGCTTCGGCCAGGGAACACGTAGACACAATCGTCCGCGACCCCGGCGCGACTATGGCCTTCTTGGCCCTCCTCTTATCGGCTTCTATGACATGCAGACCAGCCAAATGGTGCTGTGCCGGTGTAATGAGCTCAGTACCCCCATGAGCCACATATTCAGCGGCAGACACCCTCATGCCTGCCGCTTGGGGAATATGGGGCTTCCTTTCATTTATCATTTCTTAAACAAGGTTGAAATTAGTAAGAATAGTAACCTATTATCAATGGTATATTCAATTAAGATTAAATTTTAGTTTTCCATATAAAGAGCAAATGCCAACGACGAGCCTATGCTCTAACGTAACCTACTTCGTAAACCTATGCTATCACAGCGTCACCAACGTAAAGTCTTAATATTTAAAATAAATATGGAGCTAAAAATATGGTAATTTTTATGGTGGAATAAGTGTGATGTAATTTTATTATCGTTATCGTTGTTTTCATTGCACGAATAGATAGGCTTATCTACGGAAGTACCACGCGGCCTCACAAAATACCGGCGTGATGTGAAAGCTTATATTTTCGCGTTTCGTCTGGTAGGTGAGGTAGGCGGGGTCCACTTTTGTAAAGGTTGGTTAGTCATCTGCGGTGTTACAGATGTCCATCGGTGGGTATCACTTAAAATAAGGTGAATCACCTCCTCGCTAGTCAACTTTTCACATAAAATAATTAATATTGATATAGTTTTGAATATTTAATTTCCAATCAATGCAATGTTTTAAAAATAAATTATGTGATATTATTCTCACCGGAGAGCCTGTGATAACATTCGACGAATAACATCCCAATAAAATCCCAGTCATTTTAGCCTTAAATATACATTGGAACTGTTTTGATAAGATGCTGCTTATAAAATTTCTTTGAACATTAGTTTCGGTGTATCCCGGAATCAGTTCAGAAAACAATGAACAGCATGATTGACATCTGTCTACACCGTTTGGATTAACATTTAACGGAAATTGAAGAATTTCGTTTGTTGGGTCCAACTGTTGAGTTCGACCGACTAACTTTTTTCTCATTCTCATTCTTTTTTTTAAACATTGCCCTTACTTCAGGATAACATTATCCTGTGTTGTAAGGACGTTTTACAATAATAAATTTCAGGCGGACAAACACCCAGATGCGAAACAGATGTATGTGGGTCACACGAATCGTTGCCCCGTGTGGGAATCGAACCGACGACCCGCGACGCCGAAGCCGATACTTAGGCAACTGCGTGACGGACTCCTCTATAAAGTAACTTTTGCTCAAGCACATCAATCTTCCAGGCTTGGCGGTCCCGTTCGTCGAGCTGACCGTCGCCCACGCCTCGGTGCTGACGATTCTCGCGATCAGCTTCGAGAGGTACTACGCGATCTGCGAGCCTCTACGAGCGGGCTACGTCTGCACGAAAGCCAGGGCAATACTCATTTGCGCGCTAGCCTGGTTCTTCGCCGCTCTGTTCACGAGGTAACTGCCGTCTCGTCTGTGCCACTTCCAACTCCTCGCCATCATTCTAACAGATTGCCTTGATGAGAGACAACAGTTTGTGAACAGCGTCTCATTGAAGCGTTCGCTATTAAAAACGACACAGCTGTGTGTATCATTTGTCATGCTAGTGTGTATTTTTTCGTTTTCATTGGTAAGCATACTGTTTTGAGACATCATTAACAGTTATTTCCATAAAACTCTATCATCATAACTATTTTATTATTTTGTACAATAAATATGGTACTTTTACTTTATTACTTATATCAACAAGCAGTATATTTCTGAATGAAATCATTTTATTTTGATATTAGTAAAGATTATACCCTGATTGTTCAAATTTTTATTTAATAGACATAATTTTATTGTAATCTTGTTCCAGCAAATTTATATCTATTAATATTTTGTAAACAACGCTTATGATAAGTATCTCTGAATAAATATTATGAACTATAAAACAAATATAATATTGATAGACAATGAAAATTTAAGAAAAAGTGAACTACAGCTAATTGATAAAGACGAGATATGCAATCTACAATGTATTATAATAATACATATAATAATTACTATTTGTATATTATTTCGATCTGCCATCTGTATTCGGCTAGATCTATAATATATTTGTCGGCAATAAATTTCGCCGGCAGAATTGGAGCAATGCTTCGCAGTCGAATCTAAGCTGTAACAAACTTTGAACTAAGTTACCGAGCAAGTTAGTCAACGTGTAAGTTTAACGCCGTATTTATTTTGTACTACATATCCGACCTCCGCGAAATACTCGCGTACGTGTCCGAGGAATGAATTCAGGATTTTGTCTGGTAAATTGATAAAGTTTTATTTTCAACTGATGTTTATTTTAAATTTTTCTTCATTTATATATGATTTATTTTAGGTTCTCATACTAAGGAGAGGTATAAAAAAGAGTATCTACAGTTTTGAGAGCTATATGTGTGAGTGATGACAGCAATAAGCCATGATTACTCACACTTATCCAATCCGGTAAATTAAAATCAATACGATAAGTACCCGAAAATGTTAACCGAATAGTGTGGTGAAATCCACTCAGATTTAACTTGCACGTTGCACGGCAATTCAATCCCGTATTGTCAAAAATCGTTATCAACCCGAATTAGACATTAGGCATTTTATCTGCTATATTCTCATTTAAATCTAAGCCACTTATTAACATGGCACATGATAAGATTTGTCATCACATCAGTCTTTCTTAAAAAAGGAAACTAATTTAAACTCAAGCTGAGGGATGCCTTGATTCAACTTAGTGGCCCTATCCAAGGATAGTATTGTATTAGTATTATGTAGAATGATATTTCCTACGTGAAAGAAACAAGGTTTTGAAGAGGATATGACCAAAGAATTACTGAAAATGTAACAATTAAAAATTATCACATGAAAATATGCATAGAAACGAAACCGATTTTCACAACATAATAATAAATTCATTAATATGAATTTATTATTATAATCAATTATAATAGTATATGAATTTAACGGTGGTAGGGCTACGCAGCAGCCTGTTGCACGAATGGGCAGGCTCGTCCGGGTAAGTACCACGACCTCACAGAAGAGCGGCTTTAAGTGGAAGTATAATACTTTCGCGTTTCGTCTCGTGAGTGAGATAGCCGGAGCCCAATTTTCAAAAGGTTATCAACGCACCTGCAACCCTCGCGTGTAGCGGATTTCTGCTTGCTTGGCAACTTTTCACATTAAAAAAAATATGATTTGCGATAGTGATTTCGTAATTTAATATGATACCTCTCGTGACTTGGTCCCGATTGAAGCGGGCAAACATTTCCAACAAGCTTGTTAAGCCAAAAAAGAGATGCAGTGTACCAGGCGCGAACTCGACAGAAATGCAAAGAAATCAAACAATTGATTGATGCACGTCACGCAATAGTAGGAATGAAAGCGTATTCTTTAATTCAATATAAAAAAATAGACAACTATTTAAACAAACATAAAACCGTAATATAAGAATGTATGGATTCCATAAAGCTAAATTAAATTCACGGTCCACAATACACATCACTCTATAAATTCTTCACTTTGCATTTTAACTACACAGCTCGCAAAGTTTAATGCAAGCAACACGAGTAGACGTTATTTCTTCTCATCCCAAACTAAGTTCCAACTGCCATTATTCTATTATAAACTTTACAGGTTGGCGAAATTATGATTGTTATCGTATGACTTTTATGGTGTTAGCGAGAATCATAGACAAAAATATAATCAGTGGACGATCACTGGAATTTATGGATGCCACAATTCCATGAGCGAGTCTCGCCGCTGTTTCGACTGTAGATCTCTACTTTTATACGCGTTCCCAACAAGTATGTTTTCAATTTACGATCTAACTTTCCAATTGTAGAAACTTCTTTTCATTTATCCTCGGATTTAACCTAAGTGAGTTTTTACTGGCGTGAAATGGATTGTGCATTATCCTTTGAATTGTCTTCCATTAGATTATAAAGAATTTTATTATTTTCAAATCATATTGTTGACGTATTCTTGTCAGTTTTAAAACACTTTAATTCTACATTTAATCAGCACTGACAGACACTGTGGTTTGAGTGAAGAAGACATCATCCCCACTCTTTTATTTATTTCAATTCAAGGTTACAGGATTTTATTACAATCTAGGGTTATAGGATCGAATCTCATTGTCTAACACTTATGTAGGTATTACGCATTGGGCACAACTATTAATAATTATTATGAATGTCAATTCATAATGACACAGAGAGACACAGAGAGAATGTTATCATTACGTTTTGACGGGACAGACTGAGATGTTTAACGTCCAAATGTCATGTTATTTCCGACTACCGTCAACATTTAAATAATTTACTTATTCCCATCTACGCAGCTGGAGCTAACAGTATATTGAGCCATAGTAAAAAACAAATACCGTATATTGATCTATAAGTATTGGTGCTGAGATTTAATTTTATATAAGTTGGATTGGGAATCAATCCTTTTTTTATTTTTTATTTGAAACAATAGTTGAGTTACTTTATTGTGTGGTCACAAGAGAGGAGATGGCAAACTAGCAGGTGATAGTGTTTAATTACCGCCGGTTAGCATATTGAATTTCAAATGAGCAATGGGATCGAAGTTACTTTGCCAACCTTTTACAAGCAGGACTTTTGGTTTGGTACCCGAAAAAGTACTGGTCCTTCTTGAATAGCAAAAACTGCTGCCTAGCTGTAATACATAATATAATATAATACAATATTATCGACACTTCCTATTGGCGCACAGTTGTTAGATACATTCGTATACTTTCAATTACCTCTGAATAGGAGTGTGAAAACTTTTATAGTGAGATATTAAGTGGCTCAGAAGTTTTAGTAGAAATTAGCTTTAGTGAAAACTGTAATGCTCGCTAAAGAGCCCTCGTTATCTCTGATTTTCCAACTGTGTTACGAGTTGACTACCTTAAAATTAAACATAAATAGTTCTGCTAATAGGCCGATGACAGTACTGACTGGTAAGTTGATACAGTCCTAATGGTTTTCATCGCGACGTGTCTTACATGCCAAACGAGGTTGCCAAATGAACGATGACAGTTGCTAAAGCGGAGTAATGTCCTTACTGTCAATTCGCCTGCCAAGGCAGACTGTTATTATAATCACACGTTTAGCTATGAATACTCTACAAAAGTTTTCAAATGTGACGTCAGCGAGGTCCGATGACTGATGTATCCTTAAGCGTTGATTGTGCCAGCGATTGTACTTTGTAAGTAAATTTTTAAACTTGGGTTTAAATTATTCTCACGGAACGTCTTATGCCCGCTGTATTTTTTGTTTAGTAATTACAAGGCAATATTTATATGATATCTACGTTTTACCCAGCTTATTAAGTATCAAACGGGCACAAAATCGTCATATATTTATATGAAAACGTAGGATATATTTATCATCATATTATGTTTAATGGTACATAATTTTCTGTGGCTTCTCTTTGTTTGAATCTTTTCAAAAGTTAAATCTATATACGCTATCACAAACGTCGACTTCACGTAATTCAAGCGAGGTAGATGATGGCTGCCTCCTTTTAGCTTTTAACAGGAGCACAACAATTGAATAAGGTTCAGAGCATTAAAAACGAAGCAGGAAATCAATTGGGTTTCGAAAAAAGACGAAGGATTCATTCCGAAAATATTAAATTCCTATGAATATCTTTCCTGCGCTCTCCCTTTGTTTATTTTAATATAACAGCACTTAGCGTCGACACAATTGGTAATCCCCCGAAATGTTTTGGGGACTACGGAAATAATTGAATCGAAGGACCTACATACAGCTGTTTCTCACTGATATTTATGTATTCGTTACTATGATGTAAAATACCCATGGGAAAAATAGATGAACTATATAGAACCGCAACATTAAAACGGAATGATAACGACATAAAGGCATAGAAACAATCTTTTGAAATTGTCCTTTTTAAAATTGTCAAGAAGGTTTTTGATATTCGTTAACTATCAAACTATAATTTAAGCAGATTTCTTTGAATAAGAACCGAGTAAGTGTAAGTCCATTTCATTAAGACTAAGTATTTTTTATTCAATCATTTTGTCAATGTTATTTGCTGGGTGTTTCTACGATTGGCCGCCTATCTGACATCAACACCCCTTGAGAAAAAACACCTAGATCCGGAACAATTTATCGGTAGCATTTGAAATCCACGTTTATCTGAATTTTGAGGGGATCGTAAAACAATCAAATTCACGCAGGTCTTCTATACGGTCTTGGCACTCCAGACTCGAGTACGTAGTCCCTTTCGTATAACAATTGGTTTTAATATTTATAAAAGCCAAAAACTATCAACAGCTCTTTCGGAACTACTTTTTATTATAAAAATAATGCTACTTTAAAATTAAACATATCACAAAACTAACGGTAGAGAATAACCATAAAAATAAAGAATAGTGTCATATCAATACGGTTTACGAGCTTGCTAAATTTGTTTAAACTGCGGTCTTTGTTTGAAACATACAAAACCTGTTGCTGCAGGAGGACAGAAATACGTTAAAAAACTTACGGAATTTATGATTTAAGAGAAATGACTTACAAATTTAGCGCAACGATTGTCCTTTGGGTCGAAATATCGTCATTGCTGCCAATAAATCGAATTATCCATAAAATGGGACAACAATCGTTTCGCGCTCCATCGGCATCGCGGCTCAGACAGTAAATATGATCCGTATCTGAATTTGTTTCCAGATATGGGCAAAGTAATTAATTAAACGCGACTGTACCCGTGTACAGTTATGTACGAAGTCTAAATTATTGCAACTATTATTTTATCTTTATTGTTTTCGCTTTAAATGTGTACACGAAGCATATATTACGCGTGTAAACGTAAAATTTTTCCAACGCAGCGTCCCGGGTATTACGCTCCAATTGTTCTTTTATATCAGAAACGTTTAGTTATATACGGATTGTGGAATTAAAGTATAGGCCTACAATCAAACTTAATCAAAGTTAAATCATATGTACCCGCTAAAACCCTATAGAATAAGTACTTACTGTATCTGCCCGTATTTGACGTAGTGGAATTTCAACTCGGGTTGCTCAAGCCCAAATAGCAAAAACTAGTTAAACTACTATAAGACTATAGAATATTAAAATTTGTAGAAAAAGTAGGAAAAGATTTTTAAAAAGACTATAGTATATTTTGTCAAAAACTTTTTTCATATAAATCTCTAAAGTGTACTTAGTTCTGGTTATTCGCATTTATAACTCTATTAAGTGTCAAAATGAATCAATAAAAATGTCACACATCGAAAAATCAGTTCCTTACAATCTATTTATCAGTGAAGCAGTTCTCAAAATTGTAAAGAACCTATATATACGAGCTACGCTCGGCATTACGGAACGGCGTCAATTGCACGCCTCATCATTTTTGTTTTATTGTAAAATAATCGGCATTAAGTTCGCAGTTCGCTGTCAGTCATTAACCATGTACCTAACACGTTCTCATTTATCAGTATCAAGTAGTTAAAAATTTTCGGACAGTTGTTTTAATTAATATCAAGTGTTTCATATCAAGTTCTAGGAAACCTAAATTCCTACACTATTAATAGTACTATATCATACTTTTACAAGAGTTAATGTGTTGTTGGCCACTTTTGCTATATAAGTTTACAGAACAAAATGTATTATCGAATGCTTTTATACAACACAGTGTCACTGTTAAAAGTTTAATAAAACACTTCAATAGCTTTTTAGCGATATAGATATTCATTATAGGGCTGTTTTGCTGTTTGGGAGTATACTGAAGTAATAGCGAGCGCCCGGATATATATATCACGGCTCTCATTTAGTGCTCATTTAAACTAAACCTAAATTAATTTAGAACTTACTTTGAAAGCTGACCTAAATGTATATGATGCACGTGCAATCTAATTTCATTGAACGTTGGGGTTTTCAAATAACAGATGGCGATGAAACTAACATACTTCTAGCGGTAGTGCCATATTGCCTCGCCAGTGTGTTCTTATAAACGCAATAGCTCCGGAATAAATGGAGGGCGAAATTTTATTAAATTCCTTTGTCCACATATTCTTGGTGGCATTTTTGTTTAAAGCGTCTCATAGCTTTCGTATGGTGGGCTTTTTCGTTTAGAAAGTGGTATTGAATTTAATGTTTATTAAGGTAGTATTTTGTTATTTTCACTTAGATCTTGAGTTAATCATGAAAATTTATAATTTGAATTGTGCATTTTTAAAAAAACTAAGCAAAGTTCTATTAAAATGCACGTTAGGTATGGAATGTGAGATAGATTTTTGTACTTTATAATTGTCATGAAAGGAGACGTCATAAAAGGTTGGCGATGGTAGGTATTATATTTCGCTGTCTCCAAGACAAAACTTTACTATGTGCAAATAATGTCATAAACCTAATTTGATATATCGTGTATACGGACAAACCTTCAGACGTTACAGCTTTAGAACTAATACCTTTTCAGTGAATACATATAAATTTAGTTAGTTGGTGAGGTGGTGATTATCACTGAATTAAAGCTAGCGGATTCGAATCACGATAGCTGTTTCATCTAATGTCATTTTTTTTATCACCCATCTGCAGCTCAAGATTAAGTTATTTTAACGATAGGGACATTATTTTTTCTTTTAAAAAGTCCCTTACATGGGCATCAATATATACTCGACATTTATTAATTACATTATTTCTCCGTAGAACTAATATCTGAAAAATATGTGTAGGTTTTATTAAGCTAAATTTTATCCTAAATAATTATTTATAGGTACGTCAGGTCGTTTGCGTAAGCAAATTGTATCAATGCAAGAGTGAAACATTATAACTATGAATTGAAAAGTGCTTAACTAAACAAATATAAACACTTGTTTAGCTTCCAACTCACAACCCTTTGAGAGACAAGGTTCGTACAAACTTCCACAGATAATATACGTACCAGCTATATTGTATGTACTTCGCTTTTAGCATTCTTTTAACTCTCTAATATTGTTTATTGTTCCCAAAGTTGTGGCAGTCTTATAATATGATAGGTACACAGTTTCCTATACTAAATACTGAAATATTTATCTAAACATTACCATACTCCACAACTTTAGGACTAGCCACGCCTTTCGTCTTTCGCACAGCTCTGTTTCCAATCACGTCTTGATATTAGTATCTGTAAATAATATCCATACCAATCTTTAACTATGTTCTTAGTGCACAATAGATCTGTTTACTTTTTGATATACTTTCTGAGAAATTTCTTTGCCGATTTAGTAAAAATAATACTGAAGGAAGAAATGAGTTTTTCCGACACTGTAAAACTTCTTCTTTAGAACTCTTTTAATTCACAACTGTTGGTTATTAACAATTCATTTATTCCTTCTTGTGTTAACTATTTCTTTTAGCGCGTAGAAATTGTACCTTTCGCTTTTTCTTCTATTGCAGTCCAATCCTGGCGATCGCAGAGCACCACGCAGTCACGCGTCACGACGGCACAGTCACTGCGCAATGTCTCACGCAAGCTGTCACATTCTGGCAAATAGCATTCTTCATCATGGTCATAATATTGCTATACCTCCTGCCCTTACTTATACTTATAGTTCTGTACAGTATTATCGCCAAAAATCTCATAACGGCCGCCTCCAAAGTGGTCATGAATAAAACCGTCGATCCGTACAACACGAGGGCGAGAAAACAGGTCATCTTAATGCTCGGGACCGTTGTCTTGTGCTTTTTCCTCTGTCTAATGCCTTATAGAGTATTGGCTCTGTGGATAATTGTGACACCGTCGGAGCTCTCTGACAACATCAGCCCGGAGAAATGGTACAACATACTCTATTTCTCCAGGATAATGTTGTACATCAATTCGGCGATCAACCCGATACTGTATAATCTCATGTCGTCCAAATTCCGCATCGGCTTCTGCAAGATATGCATCTGTAATGGCGCATCAGAGAGAGCGCAGAACAGACGAGTGCAGAGGACGGTGACGAACGGATCGACGACCAGCAGCAGCCTCTCGCGAACCACGAACAGCCTGAAGAAGTTGTTCAGCCACCGAAGCAGCTTGGAACGTGGCGAAGACGATAGCAAGGATTCGAACGAAGACCGAACTAGGAACGGGTTCTACCGTATGTTGACAGGCCGGAGATTCGTGAGGCAGCAATCAGCACCGGTGTGCCCGAGCCCGAAGCTGAAGATAAGCCGGATGAGGAGCGAGGGCAACATGCTGGATATGTCGGAAGTCGATGTCCATGACAAGGGATCCTACCCGTCTGATGCAAATGCTAAATTCATCGGTCACTGTAACGTCAGCAAAAGCAATCGGACCGATGTAGAGCTGGACCCACCGAATCGCCACGGGTCGCTCAGGCGGAGCGTTTTAATAAACAGCACCAAAGCGAAAAGTCTAGAGAGTGAAAGCAATAAAAGGCTCGTATACCAAAAGATAAGGGCGGAGTGCGTCGTCGGCTTCCAGAAGTCGAGGAGTGTGGATTACGACTTCCCGGAGAGTTTCGTGTGATGTACGTAGATTACTCGGATGGAGACTTTTTGTTGTATTCATCTCGCGGGACTGGCTCTTATGGTTTAGTATGAACAAGACGATATTAGATCTATGTTTGATTATTTCGAAGCAAAATGAATGGAGCAGAAAGTAGTGAGAATAATTTTTTTTAATAATACACAATCCTTTTTTTCCTTGAAATTCCTATATATTGAAAAGAAATTATTTGACTTAAGACTAGTTAAAATAAAGACTAAGTCACAGGCTATAAATGTCCCACTGCTGGGCACAGGCCTCCTCTGTACAGAGGGTATAAGGGTTTAATCTACTACACGACCTCACTGCGGATTGGTGGACTTTACATGCTTTAGAAATATTTTTTTTGTGATTATTTTCATTACGCAGGTTTCACGATATTTTTCTTCATCGTTGGCACGTGATAAGTCAGCATTAAAAATTTTATTGGTGCCGGCACCGGATATAAAACTCTGGTTGCTCGATTATATTGAATTAAAAGTGAGCGCTCGGACAATAAGCTATCACTACTTTTAAACGGCTCGGCAAAATAAACACTAAACCAGTATCAAACTGCTGAAACAGTTTTACCAGTTGGCAGTTTGCTTTATTAGTTTCAGATTTCTAAAAAAAGAATATAATTATTTAATTTTAAGCAATATAGCTAAGGTTAAAATATATATATATATATATATATATATATATATATATACTTAAATTATATATAAAAAATATTTTAATTGTTAGGCATGGAGTTTTATTTTTATCCCATGCCAAACTTTCTGATGTTGTATCATCTTTATATGATTAATAACTTATTTATAGATAACTGCAAAATTAACAATAAAAAATTGAAATCATCATTGTCTATCAAATGCTATGATTAACTATCACGATCATTGACAACAAATAAGTCTTCTGTTTCATGCAGATGTTAGTCTTTAGAAAGATCATGATGTGTACTAACATAATACGAATTACAAAATACGATGAACATTTGTGACATTGACCACTAACATGGTCCATGAAATTCTGGACCATGATAGGTTACAAATTCTTCTTGTTGCAGGTAACACTTATGATTTGGAACTTGATTTTTTATAGTTTAATCATCATCATCATCATCATGATTTCAGCCTGTTTCAGTCCACTGCTGGAAATAGGCCCCCCCCCACAGACAGCCACGAAGTACGATCCAGAGCCACCTGCATCCATCGACTCCCCGCACATTCATTATTTAGAATTGGTTAGAACTCCAGTTGATGATTGAATTTTAACACCCTTAGGGTGGAGGCACCCTTTTAATAAACTGGGACCCAGCTACCTCACTCACCAGACAAAACGCTTCCACCTCACGCCGGTTCTCTATGAGGTCATGGTACTTATCCGGAAGGACCTACCAATTCGTGCAACAGGGTTTCTTGGCCCTGCCACAGTTAAAACGAATATTTAATATGATTATAATTAAATTTCAAGTATATGTGAACTTTAACTATTTTTACATTCCGTATGCATTCGTTACTGCATGAGCCTGCAGTAATTAATAAGCATAATATTTATGCTTTTGTAAATTATGTAAGACATATTATATCGATTTAAAGAGATTGACATAAGAATTATAAAAAATTATTATATGTATATACAAAAATCGACAGCAAAAACAAGTACATTACATTTATTTATTAGTTCGTACAAAAGGCAAAAATGTATGTATTTATAATGAATATGCGTAAATTGTCACTTCATCTAAAATAATTCCACTCCTGTTATATTCTCTCTAGTACTTAGTCGTAGTAAATTCATTATCCGATCGTATAGTCGTAATACTTTAGATAATTTATTGACGATACTACCTTGACCAAAAACAATTCATTGTAAAACTAGATGAGTTCTTTTAAAATTTAAGTTTATAAATGTAGAGAATTTAAATATCTACTTAAATTATATAAATAAGACGAAAAACAAAAACTAAAATTCATGATTGAATTTTTTGATTTTAACCTTAAGCCCCTTGTGGCCGTCAAAACAAAATTAAATTCAAAGCAAAATCTTTGAAATGATTTTTAATTAAATTACTTTTGTAGTCTGATTAGTAACTCCTCATATTATAATAACCACATACATATCTTTGTTCTATTAATTTCATTAACGCCAAATTTTTATCTTGCAGCCCAATACTTGCCGTCGCAACCTTCACTCACGAGAAGTACGCCGATGGGAGCGAGGTGCCCGTCTGTCTCACGCAAGCGGACACGTTCTGGTCAGCGCTGTTCTTCATCCTCATAATCGCGGTCTTCTTCATAGTCCCGCTTGGAGTGCTGCTCATCCTGTACAGCGTGATAGCCAAGAACCTTATGGAGAACCCTGTAATAATAGCGCAGCACAATAAGAACTCAAACAACGGCGGCAACGTACTACGCTACAGGAAACAAGTCATACTGATGCTCGGCACCGTTGTCCTGTCGTTTTTTGTATGCCTATTGCCATTCAAGGCCCTCACACTGTGGATCATTGTATTCCCGCCAGAGACAATAATGTCCTTAGGTATAGACGGTTACTACATTCTTTTATATTTTTGTAGGGTTATGCTGTATTTGAATTCGGCCATCAATCCCATATTGTATAATCTGATGTCATCGAAGTTTAGGGACGGCTTTGTGAAATTGTTAAAGATCAACAAACTCATGAGGTGCGGTAGGAATTTAAGGGAGAATATGCAGAGAAGGGATACATTCAATACGACAACGTCTACTGGTTTTTCGAGCAGTCAGAACACGTCCGACTCGTTTTGGAGGAGATACAGTAACAGGACATCATCGCAGAGGAACTTCCTGAACAGGAACAGTACCAAAGTCAAAGATGTAAAAGAGATATTCGACACGAAAGTTCAGCAGGTCAAAGTCGGCGAAATAATTAACGTCGAGAACACTAGGCGAAATAGCATGAAAATGATAGCAGCTTTGAACGAACTGAACGATAACTTGGGAGAGATTATCAAATTCGAAGATCAGAAACGCGATAGTGTCAAGTTCAAACCAGTTAACGGTATTGTTGATAAAGTAAGAGTAGAAGTCCACGAGGAACAACCGAGTGAGATGTCAAACGACGTCTCAGTTGCGAACGCTATTGTTAACAATAAACAAATACAAATATTGAACCTAGATGTTAAGACCAATGTTCTGCATTCTGTTACGTTAGACGTAAGGGAGACAGGAGAGGGGAAAAACAGGTTTGTATGCGTGCCGTCTCAGGACAAAGAGAGTAAAAATATATTTGTATACGACTTTAAGAGTAATGAGAGTTTTGTGTGAAGATAATTTTGTATTGTAATAAACCAGTAGTTGATGATTTGCTCGTTGGAGCGCTTGGCGATACGTCAAGTAAATAAAGCATTTAAATAGTTTATAGAGATTTATAATGAAATATATATATCGCATGTTCCTATATTTTATTCTATGCAGAGTTTTTATACATCTAAATTATTGACAATAGTTTATAATACGATATAAAAGGATTATGCGTTCGGAAATCTCCTGTAATGTTTAATCGAAAATGACATGTTTATAGTAACATTGTAACTGTTCAATATTGCCTTTGTATGTGCTATGTTAAATACACGTTAATTATTATCGTAAATCTGTTTTTCATTCCAAATCGCCTTCAAATATATTCTAATATACGACACAGGTCTTCACAAGATACAGGTCATTGAGAACATTGTCTACAAAGTAGCCCCACTATGGATTGCTAGAGTTCATAATGCATTGCAAGTTTTGTTTACAATGTTCTTGAAACTGCAATTAACAATTAATTGATTAGTGCTGGCAATAACCACAACCGCTTACAACAACATTTAAATGTTGTGCAGACCCCAACTAGTTGGAATAAGGGCGGGAAGATGATGATGATGATAATGACCAGGTTTTGACCTCCGTTTCCTTGAATACAATGAATTAAAAGCGAGTGCCGGGTCACAAGACCTAGTTAAAAATTTCAGTAATGACAACTCAAAATACTCGGCAATCTAAGATGAAGACTAAAAATCAATCGGGTCTACGGTTAGGAACAAGATTTTTAATCAGGTTCAGGTCTTTACTTACTTTACCTGATGTTCCTTAGTGAGAAGGTCGTAGACGTCAAATGCATTGGCTTAACTTTATACTATAATACGCCGCAACGGTAGTACAAAATCTTATGTACTACCGTTAATATATCTTAGAGTTGGGGAATAATCTTACCAACTCTGACCATAAAAATGATAATATCTATTAAAATTAATCCATCATCAAAAATCTACCAAGCAAGACAACTTGATACTGGTCTTGTATTTCGTTATGTACTAAATTAGCAAAAGAGCAGGTTGTTCACCTGATGTTAAGTGACTACCGCCACCCATCGATATACAACACCTGACCAGCTGCAACTCGCGGTGTTGCCAACCATTAAAGAATTAGGCCCCGGTTACCTCCCTCACCAAACGAAACACGAATTTCGTTAGAATTTTCACTTCATGGTGGTCTTCAGTGATGCTGTGGTACTGCCACAGACGATCCTGCCCATTCGTGCAACAACATAAGCTGCTACGTGGCCCTACCACAGTTGTTCGCTGTTCCCACGGTTCGCCGGTTAGTTGTTCCCACTTCCAGGATCTGCACCCTGTGGCAGGGTACGCCTACCTGTTTATGACACTGTCTTAAGGCCAACCAGAAGATCGGTATTAGTCACCGACGTCTACAAGATTTTCCGCCGAAAGCGAAGCGTAGCGTAGCGTTTTACAAAATTAATATATATATATATATATCAAGAAAAGTCGGAGAAATCAGGAGATCAATCTAGGAAGGTACGGGAACGACGTATGTTTATTATCTGCCATCTGGTGCATTCTTTCAGCTGTTCGAGTCCACTGCTGGACAAATGCTTCCTAACGTTCTAAAATGGCAGTCCTCTATCTAGTGGAGTGCCAAAGAGATCTTCTTATCCAAAAAAAATGCAAATATGTTTTTTACAGAACTAATCGGATAAAAACCTTAAAAGGAAAAGAATACTTTTTATCATAAGGAGTTAGATACTAGACTAAAAAAGAAGTAAATACCGTAAGCATGCAATTTGCATTTGCTTAAAAAAATCGAGCATGACAATCTACATTCTTTAATAATTAACTCTTGCCGGGAAAAGTTTGCGTAGCGGTTCTTCAGTTGAATTATGTAATGATTTTGATGAATTGAATAGATTCATGATCTTAAATTTTCTTTATCTTTTCTTCTTCTCTGGGTTCTAGTTGCTTTTGTGTTACATGACTGGTATTTCAATGTCCTATTTTTAGTTGTGTACAAAATATAAAATAAGCACGATTATGAATTCGAAAGTAACTCTGCCTGTCTGTCTTTCTCGCTTTCACTCCAAAAATACTGAAGCGATTTAAATGAAATTTGGTACACAGATAGTCTAGAGCCTGGGAAAGAACATAATATTTTTTAATTGGAAAAAAGTGTTGTAAAGGGTTAAAAGATATTTATTTAAAGGCGAGCGAGCGAAGCCGCGCACGAAAAGCTAGTTTCTTATAAATTAAGATGGGAGCCGGTTTGCTTGAAGCATTACTGAATCAATCATTTCCGAGAAATATCGAGGCAGATCATTTTTTAGCGGAAATGAAGCCCGCTGTCAAGATGCCTTATTTAGCGCAAAGTGTAGTGAATTTTCTTATTTAAATTATATTACAAATTGCCCAATCATTTATATTGAAATTTTTAATATAAATTTTTAAATATATTTATTTAACTAAATTACTAACTTTAATATTTACTTAACTGCATAAGGAGTATGAATTTAGAGCAAATATGTTTACGTTGGCAATAATTAATTTAAAATCTTTATATATATAAATCTTCTGTGCGTATGTGTCACTGAACTCCTCCTTAACGGTTGGACCGATTTAATGAAACTATTGGGTGTTTTGAGGTGGATTTGAGAATGGTTTAGATTCAAAAAGTTTGAAAGTTTTTTACGGTGGTAGAGCCACGCAGTAGCCTCGGCTGTTGCACGAATGGGCAGGCACATCCGGGTACCACGACCACACAGAAGACCGGCGTAAAGTGGAAGTATAATACTTACGCGTTTCATACTTTTTCGCGCATCAGGTGAACCGCCAGCTCGCTTGGCAACTTTTCACATAAAAAAAAATCTCCGGATTTAAGACGTAAGTTTCAAGATTGGAAAAGGTACAAAGGAAGTTTTTGCTCACCATGAACTTCATGCTTTCTTATAATGAATAATCGTGTTTGGAGTTTAGACGCACTGTCATTATAGTCATGACGCTATATGCGCTTTGCCAAACCTTTTTAATGGTGGCAAAGCAATATATGTATGGGCGGCAGTAATTTCTTAGCATGATAAATCGCTTGCTATCAACTTTTCACAAAAAAATCAGTAATGACTCCGTAGCATTATTGCCAAGGTGTTGGCTCCGGCGCCGAGAGTCGTGGGTTCGATTCTCACACAGAATAGCTATTTAAATGACCCATAAAAAATTGTTTCAGATGTTGGTGTTAATCTACGTGAACTTTATGTTTGTAAATCCTCCTTACAACACAGGATAAAGTTATCCTACGGTAGTGGCAACGTTTTAAAATACATTGCTTATTCTTTAAGAACGCATCTTCTTGTCTTGGTAAAACAAAAAGTACACAATAAAAGTAGGTATACTTCAAGACCATTTAGTTTGTAAAGGCATACTTTAAATATCATCGAAACTCCTACCCTCTTTTTAATATCACATATTTACGTGCGTCGTCTTCGAACATTTCATCACGACGCAGCACGTGCTTAATCAAAATTTCAATTACCTGTTGCAATTTCGCCACCTGTAATTCAACCGCCGAATACCTTCGAACAAAATGACAGAATTAAAATCCCCTAGCGGCTGAGCTATCAATAATGTATGTTATTATTCATATACAGCGTGTCTTTACCATCGCGACAATAAATAAACACACGTCTAACGCTACTTGCCAATAATCATAAAAAAATATTAACGTTAAACAAAATCCATAATTAAAAAAAAATATTTTTCAAACAAACTAATTAAGTAAAAAAAAAAACAAAATTTGTAACATCCTATACAACTCGCACCACAGCGTCGTATTACAAGCCTCTCCTTCTAACAGTATATTTCGTCTCTTTTAAATTCATTCAACCCATTCATATGCTTTGTGACCTTTACAAATGAACTTTACGTTACGCTTTTATAGGTTGTTCTAAAATTCTTTGTTTTGGAAAATATAATAACTCTGTAAATATTGATGTTTAAACAATTTAAATGTTTAATACAACTTTAAAAAGTTATCCCCTATATGTGTGTTCATTTATTGTCGCGGTGGTAAAGACACGCTGTATATATATATATATACGGCTCACCAGCCGTTAGCTTAGACCATATAGGCACGATGCAGCTAGCATATCCTCAGGTTATTCTAACTGCACTACCGCGTGTTAATATTTTCACGCAACAGTCATTGCCTGCCCATTTCTCTGTTCTGTTTCTGTCAGAAATGGGCAGGCCCTTCCGCGCAAGTACCTCGACCTAACAGAAGACCGGCGTGAAGCTAAAGTGTTTTACTCCTGCGATTCACCTGGTGGCAACGCATCAGCAACCCTACAGGTGTTGAATCTCCATGAGCGGCGGTAATCACTTAACATCAGGTGTACCACCAGCTCGTTTGCCACCTTCACAAATAAAAAAGGCGATTTTTGTCTCATCTATTTAGCAGTAAAGTATAAACTTAAGTAACTATAGAACAACTGACGCTATATGTTATATTGCTGAGCAAAGGCCTTTCTTAACATGTCGTATAAGACTACTACGCCACTATAAATTGATAGACTTCATGTATCTTCAGTGGGGTGCATTTTAAGATATTTTGTTTTTTTAGTTTTTTAAAACTGTTTTTTTTTTTAATTGTCATTTCCACGACACGCCACTTTCGTCTGAACACGCTATAAATCGGCAGTTAAAGTTGCGAGTAACAATTTCTTCAGTGTGGGCACCGGGAATAATTGCTTGAATACATCAAAGCGATCGCACAGACACCGAGCTATCACCGCTTGAATATAGTTCCTAACTATAAACCGCTACTACATTCAAATATCTTTAGAGATAACCGCGTCTGCATAAAACGAAGGGAAAAGGAGAATTCAGAATGGAGTACAGCGATGATGCCGCGAGCGCTGTGAATTATTTACTATACGTGGGACGTACTAACGGAAGGTACGTGATGTCAATGTCAACGCATAACACCATCTGCGAAGATTA